TAAACACATTTATCTCTACATTTTGAAGAATGGGGTTGTAAATAAGTAACTTCAAGGACATTAGGCTTTGCTAGCAACTACGGAGATAAGGAAATGGGTAAGATAAGCATTGCCCAAGAACTGGCCAGAACCTGCCCGTGGTTACTGATATGACAATGATCCTAAAACAAAGTGATGAAGAGGAAGATGATGAAGATATAACCACCAGGGGTCCCAAAGCCCATTACAATATTTTAGTTTGCATGTGGGAGGAAGTCTAGAAATATGATGTAATGCATAAGTAACTCAATAAATATGTATGTTTAAGGACAATATAATCACAGCCTGGTTAATGCTCGGTTGAGACAAGCTAGGAGCAGCTATCCCCCGTCACCCAGCGCCACAATAAATATCTGCTTGTCAACTTAAACTTTGTTGTCGAGTTCCCGGAGATTTCTCCAAATCAGTTTCTTGCTAGATAAATACACTGTTGTCTGGCATTGCACTGAAATATCCCCATGGACGTACTGTATGACTCAATGCTTTAATACCTGGGTTGGTTTTGCCAGAAATAGATCAAATATACTGGTAAGAGAAAAACTCATCCTCAATCAAAACCTTCTGCCAGTTCAAGCAACAAAATGGCAAAGAAATTACTCCATCACTTAGCAAACACTTTAAAGGTCTGTGTTAGTACTGGGACATATCAATTTGCATCTCAGATTTCTCCATTCTCTTTACAATGATGTTATCCACTTCACATGATGTGAGCGACTATTCCAAGCTGATAAACAGGAGGAACAAGAGCTTTTTTTGCCCCTTTTATTTTTTGAACAGATTTCTCCTTTGCATCTTTGAGCATGTGTTTAGATTTCACTGATTTTATTCAGCTTGCTATACTCCTTAGCCTCAATGCAAAAAAGTCATCTGCTATATGAATTAGAAGGGGAAAATACATAATGCATGCAATAAGGAGGACGCATTGAGTTAGATCTTAGTAAGCATCTACATCTGCCACTCAGTCATTGCTGATAGCATTTTCCTGAGGCAATATATATTCTAAACTTCAGTTTGGGAGTTGGGGGGAGGGTGGGAAGTGTGTTGTTGAAGTAAACACCACCAAAAAAATGGAGGCAGAAGCACTGCATTGGTACCTCTGAATGCAGAGTAGTACCTATATTCACTGATTTCATAGAGAAAAATTACCCAGCTACACAAAAAGACTGAAAATCTCTCCAAATTCATTGTTTCATAAGCAATTGAAAAAACAGTGTAAACGCATCAAGGTTGTACTGATTATGGTCAAACACATTACAAAAGTAACATACCATCTAGAACCGTTGCTCCAGGGAACCTCATTACATTGAAATGTATAAATAGATAGGCAACTTGACTTGTTAATGCAATTAAACATGATCAACTCATATAACAAAGCAAATTCTGTAGCACATGGGACAAGAAAATATATCACATAATGCATTTGGCCTAAGCATGCTTGCGCTGGGGCTATTTGGCATTTTCTCCTTGTATGCTCTGAAGCACAAACTTGTTTTGTAGCTCTGTTAGTAGATCAAAGTTAAAAGTGATCAAACACACACCAGGCCAGAAGTTCAGATGTGGCTGTCTGTCCCGAAGCTGTCAGCACTGTGCTTTTGTACAGCTAACCATCATGATGAAGGCTTGATGTGAGACTTAGGTGAGGATAAGACACGTTGCTTCCTTCCCCCATGCCCTGAAAAACTGATTTCCACCCCCATATACATACTTTTGGGACAAATGCTTCGAACTCCAGAGGAGAAAATGTGTAACTTCCAAGAAACAAAGGATTCAATACATACATATATATTTTAACTCCAGTAACAATCTCCCCAGTGTATTTTCCAGATGTCTTGATACCACTTTTTATGATGCAAATATGAAAAACAGTAACAGCTTTTTATTTCCAATCAGGTTTTTATTTTCTGTTTGACTGCAAATACACCTCTCAGTAGAACCCAGGGCAAGGTCCCCCTGTGCTACTGTCTGACAAGTTCCCACTAAAGAGTTTCAACCACACATTTGCTGTTAGCCTACACCAAATGCCAAGTGAAACCCTCACATCTGCATAAATCTGATTTCTGAATGGGACATGGAACATACTTTGAATTAGCACTTGGTCACATCTGCCTCAGTCACTTCAGCGGAGAGGACACCACAGGAAAGCCTGAGGTTTGCAGCAGGAGCTTGAAAAACACAGCAACACAGTAGCAAAATGAAAGGCAACACATCACATGAAAGAACAGTGCTGGGTTTTGTTTTTTTTTTTGAAGTAGCACAAAGTAAAACCTAGAATTGAGAACAAAACATTAATATTAAAGTTATGTTAACTATATCCTTCTTTGGTAATCTTTACAATCCATGTAAAGCACTCTACATACAGACAGTCCTACTTCTGTGGCACAGTGTCCAGTTGGTCACGTACTGTCAGACTGGCAAAGTCAGTGCAGCTACCGCAATGAGTAGTGCCAATTGAGCACCTCGAGGACTTATGTGGCAGCACACTTTATGTGCCACATCAGCTGAATACCTGCATTTAATGAGGTGGTGCAATTGTTCTCTCCTGCCTTCTTCCAAGAACAGTAATATGGAAAACCCTACACCACACCTAATGTTGGAGCAGCCTGCTCTTGAAGGCAAGTGCAGCAGATTTACCAGTTCAAGTATGCACTACAATTACACTGGCGTAAACTCAGACTCATCACAGAATCACAGACTGGTTTGGATTGGACAGGACCTCAAAGATCTAGTTCCAATACCCTGACATAGGCAGAGACATCTTCCACTAGACCAGGTTGCTCAAAGCTCCATCCAACCTAGCCTTAATTTCTGTACAGACTTAAACAAAACCCTCTTAACCTGGAACCAGAACAGATACCACTTATGTGAACAGCTATGCCGGTGTATGCTATCACTGCCCGTTAATCTGCTTTCTCAGCTTAGCTCCTCCTCTGCAGCAGACTGTCTCTGAACTCCACTTGCGGACTTGCTCGTATGAAGGCTCCTTTGCCTGCTTCAATCAGTTTTTCCACATTTCTTCAGCTAACTTAAGCTATTTTGACTGAATCAGGTTAGAAAATATTGCTACAAGTCACTGTGCAAAGAGAGACCAACAAATGACAAATAGTAAAGCACAAAACCTCTTTCATCGGTTCTGATATGAATCCCATCATAAATGCGGTCATGGACATTCAAAGAATTACAGGTTCACTCCAGAAGTGTAACTGTACTATTAAGCCTCCTCTCCCACACAGCCCTCTTAACATTCCACTGAAAGTGAATTTTGGGGGCCACACTAGTAAGTCTCTCTGTATTTTAAGACCAGTAAGAACTACCCTCTTATGCTATTTGGTTCAAGTTTTTGCAAGTCTCTTGCACTGCTTCAGCTTAACCAAAAACCAAAACACCCCCCCACACACACACAAAAAAAAAAACCACAAAAAACCACACACACAAAAACCCTCAAAAAGCAAACAAAAAAAACCCTAAACGACAATACACCTCCCCCCCCCCCAAAAAAAAACACCAAAACCCACCAAAAAAACAAAACACACACAAAAAACAACCTACAAAAACCAAAAAGTCAGGTATAAAAATAGGAAAACAGTAAAAGAAAAGTGACAGTAGGGAAGAGAGATTTAAATTCAGAGAGCTAGTCTGGGGAAGTCATCACAATTAAGTGTCAAGAAGCACACAAGGGTACTACTAGTGAGAGGTTTTTGGTTATTATGAGAACAAGACACTTTGGAATATTATATCAAGAGAATTTTACCAAAAAGCTGTTCAAAATAAAGACTATACTAACTGGACCTTCAGAACTCCCATCTTTTGAGAATAATCACAATGTATCAACAAGGCAATAGCACCAGTATTAATAACCCCTGCATGCAGAAATTGTTATCGTAGCAGTTGAACACAGTCACACAATAAGGTTTACATTCTGTTCATAACTTGCCTTATACTCACAGGTACCAACAGTAGAACAAAATATATTTGCCATATTATACACATGCTAACATTCCTGCAATCACCAGGATTAAGGACAGAGTTTCAGCCAGTATTCCGAGTTTGTCATTAGATACTTGTATTCTGTGGAATTGTCTTTTTAGAAAAACAGGGTCAAAAATTAGAATGAAACATGTTGGCAAAATGGATGTTGAGGTACTTGGATTCTGATAGAGTCAACACTTCTGTAATTTGAGAAAGACTGAAGTTCTTTTGGTACAACAGAATGCATTAAAGAAGAGCAGTACTACTAAACAGTTACCTTCAGAAAAAATGACCACCAAATCACCCCCATACCAAACATTTAACAACCATTCACAGAGTCTTAATAGAAGGTTTTGTACAAAGAAGAACCTAAGTGGTCAAAACCAAGGTAATCCTTAGCTTCTCAGTTCAAAAGCTTTGACACATCAGCACAACTCTGAAAAGCAAGTGACAATGAAACGGATTTTCTTTGGCCTTGTAGTTTAAGCTTGTCATTTACATTTGAATGATGATTCCTAACTATTTTCTGCAAATCTAGGAGGAATGTGTTGAGTTTTGCATTGCAGGTAAGTACTCTAACAGCAGTTTTCAGAAGTAAGATGGATTACAGTGATTAATGCTGTAGTCTATCAGCCTTGAGTCCTGTTTTCTCCCAGAGCTTTTAAAAGCTGTGTCTTGAAATAGCAGAAGGCCACAGTTCTACCTCAAGGTTTGGATGAGCATCAAGAAAAGAATTATATTTCAATAAATTTCTACTGAATATGTTTTCAGATTTCTAGGAATTCTGATTGTACTGAATCCCTATTTCCAGAGCTAAAGTGTTTTAAACTGTCTTAAGAGACATTCTTCAAGTCTACAGAAGAAAACCCAATGATACAGAAAGGGTTTCTCTCCCTATGTTGCCAGTGCTCCCACCTCCTTTATATGCATACTTAACAATCTCAAAAATACTAATCAAGCACAAACAAGGCATTATAAGCAGGTAAAATCACACATTTACATAGCAGCTACTGTGAACTTTATTAAGAAAATAAGTGTTTGCCAGTTAAACTACCATCACTTTATTGACTTCTCCGGTTACCTGTAGAAAATCAGTTCAGTCATAATGGCTCTGGAAACCACTTATTGCCAAGTAAATATTGAATCACTGGCAATGCGTGCTCTCCTTGGAACTCTGGCAGCCTTACCATGAAAAGAACTATATACACCTTTGCAAAATGCAAAGCAAGCAACACATCTTTCATTCAAGCAGCAAAGTTATTGTTGAGGCAGATACCATGCTAGACAAACAGCGAGAACACCTTTATATTAAGCAATCTTTTTTGTCGTGACAGTTCCACAAAATGAAGTGCAATCTGCGAGGGTAAAAGGTCCGTAAGGTATCAGTTACTCATTCTCTTGTGTAGCTGTGTAGTCAAGTCTTGTTTCTTAGGCTGGAGTGGTTGAGCTAAACCAAACACAGCATGATGATCCATCTTCATGAAAATGTCCTCTTGCTAATGCATCTGCTTTTGCCTCCTTCGCTATTTAATAGTCTTATGCAGTCCCATGCACTAGAAGTCAGGACAAGGCTTCTTCATTCATCTGGAGTCAGAGTTAATATTCAATCCTCTAAGCAACTCAATACAGTTTATACACACCTCTGAAAAGAAGTTCCCCATTCCTAAGTAATCCAACCATTACTATTTCTTCAACTCCAGAAGTTGTTTTAGTTGCTTTTTCATCTTCAGCTTGTAGCCACGTGGCAAAATAGCATTGTCATGGGCTACGTTAGGTAGGATTTAATCTTTATTAATAGTTTCAGTAGATTGCCCGAGGATTTTTTGTACTGTAGTAGGCTTCACATGCAGCTACATAAGCAGATTCTGGGAAGAAATCATCATGGTATTCTGCTAAAAACCTAAGAAGAAAGCACATCAAAAAAAGAACAGAACATACAACATTTAAGAGAAAAGCTATTTTCAAATTAATTTTTAAACTCAGCAAAACCACAGCCTGGGAATTAAGAATCACTGCACTTTGAAAGTTGGCATACAAAAAGGCTTGCCCTATTTTTACAAGTTCTACAGCTTTCCCTTACCATTCCCAAATCAAGTAGTAATTAAAAAAGTTGCTTAAAAAAAAAAATTCTAAAAATTGAAGATACACTCAGAAAGGAATGCAAAGAACTATGACAGAAGAAAAAAAACAAAACCGAAAGTATCTGTCTGCAACTTCTGTCAGTGACCCGCTCAGCATACTATTTTCATTTATGTCAAACCCAGGATTTTCAGTTATCACTATGCAGTATCTTATATAAGTGCCCAGTAACCATTGAGTCAAACTGTACCTTTTAAGGCAAGCAAACTTATGATTTGTTGTTTCATGTGCTTGTGCATTAGGGTCTCCACCTCTCAGAAGTATCTGATTTAAATATGGCTCTCAAAGATAAAATGCATCTGTAAATCCGGTTCCCTAATTTCAGATTTCTGCAAGATGGTCTTCAAATACTACTGAAACAGCCAAGCACCCAATATTTTATCATGTCTTCCTGCTCTGCTAACATACAACTCTACATTCAGCCCTAAACCAAAGAAAAACACTGTTGCTACTAATACCAGCTACAAACAACTAAAATGACATTACACTTTCTGCTCCTTCTTTTGTATACAAAGATGCCACATATGCAAGTGGGGGCAAATAGGCAAAATGGCTCTTAAACCATGAATTACATGATCAAGCTGTACCTCAGGAACACAGCCACCCCCCCACCCCACCCCCCAAAAAAAAACCCACCAAACAAAACCAGAACAAAACAAAAACCACATTATCTTCAAAAATACCTGGATGTTAAAGATCAGCATCAATGATCATGGCAAAATGCTAGCCACACGTTCTCTGTGTTAAAGCAGAAAGTAATGGAAACAACAGAGAACACTGTCATTTGCAGAATCTAGTTTTCTCTCAGAACCCCTGGCTAGGGAGATGACTTCACTATTGGAAGCTAAAAACAAGCAGTTTTCCATAACCATTACTCTGGACACAGAAAGTCCAAATTGAAAAAAGTACAGGTGACTGCAATTAAAACCACAGTGTTTCTGCAGCAGTTACACTACTTGAACTAGGCGTGTCCTTTGATCTTAGTCGAGCCAAAACATCAAAGAATACTGACAAAGGTTCTCCATATAAGGCAATCTAAATTTTATCAGGAATATATTAATTGCTGAGAGCTCTTGTCATTAATACCACCCAACACAGACTTTCCTAGCTTTATCATGCCGTAAGTTGCTCTAATACTTTATGGTTTGTTTTAGACTTTTTTTTTCCATGAGATAAGAGATATCCCTTAAAAACAATTCAATGATACACAGGAACAGTTCACACACAATCAGATCCTCTTGATTTTGAGCAAAATGTGTCAGTCATTTGCACTACACACACATCCCTCACCCTAAGAAAACCACTACAAAAGACTACCAACATTATAGCAACATAGAAGTTAATAAAATACCCAAGTCATCAACTGCTATGATCTCTGACTGTAGTTAGCAATAAATCACTGTCTGGGATATGTGGGGTTGGTATGAAGTGAGTACGAGAAGGCCTAAAACTTCACTGACTCAAGTCTTTTAACATACACAGACTGTAGAAGATTAACATCAGCCACACCTGAATTTAATAGTGCTTCATTAACATACATTAATGTCTTGAAGAGATAAACGAACTACAATGTCATTGGGTAACGTTCCATAAAACACAGTACCAAGTGCTAGATCATATAAAGGAGTACGTTAAAAAAAAAAAAAAAAAATCAGTAAAACAAAGGAACCTTCAGAGGACATTGGATAACTGACAGTTCCAAGAATTTTAAGGCCATGTAATGGGAAACAGGTTTATTTTCTCTTATAGGTTTCCAGACTTTGCTTAAGATCATTGGTCATAAATGCCAGTTTGGTGCAAGCTGAAGTAACAGCTTGTAAGGATGAGAAATATTAGGTGAGATGCATGTAGCACAGCTAAGAAAGCAGAATGCATGCAGTCAAATCTACATTTCTTTGTTCTTATTGTAACAGTTGCAAAAACCAATTCCCCAGAGCTAGCAAATACAAATCACTTTCTGCAGAGAAGCAAGAGGAAAAAAGGCAGAAAAACACACAATCAGCTTCTGTCCCAAACACTTAGGTATCTTTCTCTATACAGAGAGCAGTGACTCTTCTGAAGCTGCATTGTATTCAAACTAGATCACAGTGCAGAAAGCCAGCACAAAAATATTAAGTCTTTCAAGACCCCTAGGTATGGATATCTGCTAATGCTTTGCTTTTGGAAAAGCTGAAATAACACAAAAATCAGTTACACTGGTACCTGCAAGTCATGAGCCAAGATTTAAAAAACAGAGGCAGCTGTACTAAGCAAGCAGAGCCAGTGTTCAGCTATAGCTCAGAAAGCACATTGCTATTTAGCTATTCAGATATTGTTTCATTACTTTCAATTTATAAATCTGATAAATTCAACCACCTGTTGCATTGCCTTTTTCATACAGAGTTCATATGTATACACCTACACAGTGAAACTGCTTATGAGTAACCCAGTTTTGAGATGCACAGTCCACACAGACATCCAGATTTAAGACTGCATAATTTTTCTCATCATGAGCACCCATAAAAAGAATACTTATGCTTTACACTCATGCTCATGAGGTACATAGAGGTAACATGGCACAACGCAGCTATTTCCCTCTCTACCACAGGTTCCTAGAAGAGCAATGTTTCAGAAAGGACTAGAGGGGATGCAGACAAGGGAAACAAACATACGGGCAACCTAGCTTGCCGAATTCTTATGTTCTGATCCTCAAGTGTGGCATTCTGTAAGCAAGCTTACCTCAGGTGACTCCAAGCAAGAGCCTCCCAAATAATACTACCACGTGCCTGAGAGTTATCCAGGCAAATCTGCCAAAAAGAGCCATAGAACTATCATTACCCACATTAAAAGGCCACTTGACATACATATGTGAGAATATTTCTCAACAGTGTCATTGAATTAACGAGCTTTAAGACTGTCATCTGGTAGCAAAACCTTACCTGAACAGTCTCTGCATGAAGAAAAACCATTCTAAACATGAACTAGCAAGCATAAATAAGCTCAGGGACAGCTTGAAGAATGTGAAAATTACAAAGAAAGCAAAATTTTAATCATTCTAAGAAGGACAACCTCAGCCATAGAAGAATACAGAGTTAAGAGGAAAAGTTTCCAGGTAGGTTACATTTACATACTTTTGTTGCAGAGTTCAGGAAGGTAAGCAGATGCTTTGATGAGATCAGTGGTCTCAGCTAGATGCTGTTTGAAAGGCAACTGTAATGATCTATCTATAGGCATTTGCTTAAAAAACATGATGGATCCTAACTCTGTGAGTCACCTCATCAAAAGAAATGTCATCTGCAGATTAAGAAGCTATCTCTTCTCTGAGACTATAACTTGAAAGAAGGATTTGAAAGCTTAAAAGCTTAGTTTCACACAAAAGTATATGCCACCACCTGACCCTCACCCCTTCTGGTGATAAGACATTTCTCCATCTGGAAGACTCTTCAGGTCAAAAGCTCACCAATACAAAGCTCATCATAACCCCAATGCAGTCAACAGAACAAATGAAGTGAGAAATTTCAGATGTTCATTCTCATAATGAACATGTCAAAGGAACAAACAGGCTTGTTTTATTGACTGGACTCTTGTCACTCATCCACATACAGGAACAGAGATAATCTTCCTGGGCCTTTAAAGGGCATGCACAGATAACTCTGAAGATGCAAACATAACATCTCCAGTAACCATGCTGAGTGAGTGAAAATTAGAAGTGGTACCTTCTAGCAGACCTTTTGGGAAAAGTCTTAAAAGGGCTCAATACAGGAATCCTTGGTTGGTCTTGAGGATGAAAACCCACTTTTGGCAATGCCAGCACAGATCCCAGAATAAATTCTTTAGAGCTGTCTTCTAAAAAAGCTATCGTAAAACATTTAAAATATTTTGGGAACCTCTCACTTCAGATGCATGACCCAAACCCCTCATTTACACACCCAGGCACCTGATAATTTGGTAAACAGAAGAGTGTCAAGAAGAATAAGCACACACAAGCAGATTCTGCAGATCAACGAGGTAAACAAAAGCATACTGGAAATAAACCATATAATACCAGGTACTCATTGACCAAGAAGCACTCAACATAAAGGTGCCAAAAGTTTGAGAGGTCCCAACAAGGCAGTTACCTTTCTACTCACTCAATGATCAGTGAAGCCCAAATAGAGCAACAGTAATGACCTAAAATATGGCATATACATTCACTGTGCAAGTAGAATTCCTTCAAAGCATTTCAAAACCTAGAAAACAACATTCATTTGCCTGCCTCTAAACCCACACCTGTCCACATTCAAACCTTGACTTTCTTACAGTTAGGCTCCAATTCCATAAAGTTTTCTAGTATGTCAGAATTGCTATGCTGCACAGATTTTTTTTGCCAAGTAATCAGTTAATCCCAAAATTGAGATAGAAAACCCCTAATCAATATAAGTAACAACAGTAGCAGTATTGCCTTCTTCATGATCTTTCAAAAAGTGTTTAATCAGTTGTCTTAACTTTATTAAGTAACCTTAACTTTACTAAGTCACAGTGAGCAGGAATTCAGTCACAAGCAACTTCACCTAAATTCTATTCCATTCGCCATGTGCAATACTTAATTTTTTCATTCTCAGATCACCACTAATAACCTCTCATTAATTGCACATTAGCACAGACTAGTGGTCATACTTCACCACTGCAGTTACTACACTAAAAGCACTGTGCTACAAAAAAAAAAAAATCTGTTTCTTAAAGTTACTTCAAAAACTTTGTCAATTTTCTATATACACATCTTATTATCACAGCCTTCTAATTTGGTCATGTTCTGACTTGGCTTCCTTCTCATAAAACACTCAACATAAATAAAGTACTTTTAAGTTTAAAATGCTTTTCAACCCATGGAGCTGAGTGGGACAATAGATACAAGCAGGTAATGGAAAAACTGAGATCTAAAATGAAAGAGAAAACTTACAGGATATCCTGAATTTGAAATATCAGTGGGTTTTTAACAAGACCAAAGTCTTTGACCATTAAGAACGCAGCTTTCCACAATATGAAATACCATATCTGCCTCATCTGGAAAAACTTACTTGAAATTTTAGACGTGTTATTTTAGAAATATTTCATCACTCACTTGTTATTCTGTATTTCACAAAAGTCTAAATACCTATGGCTTTCTGAAGTGTTGTATCATTTACTTGCCTTTTCTTGTTAAAAGGCAAATGACTTGTGACTTAAATTCCCTCCCTGAAGATGGGTCCTGCTATTTTAAAAACAGACATGTTATATTCTCCTAATTTTTTAAGTAAATCCTACTTGTCAACAGCCCTGACAAGTAACCTCTCCAATTCCAACAGTTTCCCAAGTCAAGGCTGTGCTCAAATCAATGGAAACTGCAAACCAAAAACTGGCACCTTCTTGCCTATCATTTCTCATCACTTAAGCAGCCTCTGGAGGCATGCTAGGCACCTCACAACATAGAAAAGTCATTCATCTAGTTCCAGCCCCTCTTGCCATGGGCAGGTACACCTCCCACTAGACCAGGTTGCTCAAAGCCCAGTCCAACCTGGCCTTGAACACTGACACAGCTGGGGCACCCACAGGGTATCTGGGCAATTTATTCATGTTTTCAAAGAAGAAATTTTCATTATGCACACTTCTAGAAAGCTGCACTAAGTACAAACAGTACAGCTTTTACATATTATGAAAGTCAAAAGATGCATTTGATACATCCCTTAAAATATATGTTGTCTGGGCAACTGAGATCAATCTCATCTAGCAGCAGTCTGAGGGCATGACTGGAAAATACTACTCATGTAGCATCTCAAATGAATTTAATGCATCTATCAAGTACTGAGCAAACTCAATAAAACAAGCTTCCAGACAAAGTGTTATTATATTAAATAAGTCTCAGTTTTTCAGCCCACATGAGAGTAATAGTACAAATGTTAAATGCAACTGTAAATTTTACCCATAAAAATCACAATTCAAAATTAAATCAGTATCTATACTAGAACAGAATCAGTTGTGTACCCCATGAAAGATTTAAAAATACATAGAGCTGCTTATGTTGGAACTACTCTACCCAGAATTCAAAGAAGATTCAGAAACAGTTTTATTAAAGCAAACAGATAGCTTCAATCCCTTATCTGCTATTAGAAAAATAAAGAAAAGGAGGGTACTTCAGCTTGTCACAAGAGCAATTCACTAAAACAAATCAGGCAATCTTAAGTAAATTGGTTGCTATCATCTAGTGCATACAGACTGTGTAGGACAGTTCTTATCTTTCAAAAGGTAAGCCAGAATAGAAGTGACAGAAAATATTTTTAATAAACATCCATTAATCCTTTCATTCCCCAAAACAGAAAGACGGAATGTGAAAATTGAACATCTAGTACAAGGTATCACCTCAGCCTCAAGTTTTCTCTTGTGATGACAAACAGATAACACAGAAGTATTTCTGTGACAAAAGTCTGAACAAGTTTCTAGGAAATGTAATTGTTTGACCTACTTCAATAAAATATAAAACAAAGAAATAAATGCCCAAATGAAAGATGTCCTAAAGCACCATGAATACATGTTGAAAAAAACCCTAATCATTTGCACTAGTTTCTATGTTACCTATTTGAATACACAAGCAGTAGCGTATCCAGTAAGAAAACTAGTCCAAGAAGATGACAAATCTACCTAGTATGGAATGATTCCTACAGCAGTAACTGTAACTTGGAAGCATTTTCAGGAAGGTTCTTAACTTGAACAATCCTGGTGAAACCACAGAAATCAACATATTCAGCACAGAAATGTTGAGAACAGCATTAGCAAAACATAAATGACACTGGCTTAGAGAGCACTTAAAAAACCACACAGCCTTCAAAAATTTTATTGAACCAGATATGCAATATCCACACTATGCTTGGCTTGGGGTGCTCATTTTTGTTTAGTTGTAGTCTGGTCTTAAGGACAGAATTTCCACAAGTACTGGAGCACACTTCTGGTTCTGTTTTCCAAAAGAAATCTAGCTTATCTATGCAGAGCACTCTGCAGTGCAACACAACTCATGGTAAGTGGGAATTACCAAGAGATTTGCTTCAAAAGCGCAGTTCTACCTGACCTAAAAATGCTGCTGGGGAAATGTCTTCTGATTTTTTTTCTGTTTTAAATTTTTATTTATAGGTGACTACACCTTATACCAAGATAATCAAATGGAAAAATAAGACACATATGAATACTATCGCTAGAACTTTCAGTTTAATCATCTCCCTGCTTGTATGGAGGCTGTGGAACACATTTCCTCCTTCTATTCCACACCACCACAGATCATCCATACAATGGGTATGAAAAAACTCCACTTAAGATGCTAAAGAGACCTGCTCTGCCCAACACAGAAGAATCTAACAGGCAGAGGTCTGAAAAACTGATTTGATCCACAGCGAGTTAAGCACCCTCAATAATATTCATTCCAAGCAAAAACAGGTTTCCAACAATAAGTACCAATCCTGTCGTGTTAAACACAGATTGAATACTAACTAGTATGTGACAAAACAGAGCTGTAAAAAGAAATAACTCAAATTAAATGTTTCGAGAGAAAAAATTCGTATTGTAGAAATTTTGACATTTAAGACATCTTTTATTTTAAATTTAAAAATGAAGTAAAAACATTTTGAAGTTTTCACCTCCCTCATCTCCAATAGGACTTTTGATATGCTAGTGCCGCATCATGTTACTTTTCAGTATGTGGCTACATAGAAGAGTTTTTGACCAAAATTAAATTACAAATTCCACATTTGTTCCAGATATTTACCATTTACATCACTTTCTTCTGAAAGCTTTTCTTGGCAAATTTATTTTCCACTGTATTGGTGCTGCACAACACAGTGACACACTAGGTATCTAACCACCACTACTGCAACGTCACCCAGAACTACTAACTAGAGTACCTGACTGACAAAGATGACTGTGGTGCAGGTACGATCATAATGACTCCAGCTGTGGAGCTGGTGTGGTGAGAAAGAGCCTGGGTAGGTCTACAAACCCCTGCACTGCCTAACAGAGAAACCTTTCTGTTCAAGGCTCAATTAGGACAGCTATTTCTTTTAAAAATCTACCATAATTAAAAACATGTTCTAATGCACAAGTTTCTTCCCCTGCTAGTACTGATGCACCATCAAAACTCTCAGATTATGCTGTCAAAAATAACAATGCAGTTTTTATTTCTTCACAAAACATGCTTCTTGGCCAAGTCAGAACTGTCATTCTATACAGACTAATAAATGGACTTTTCTACTTCAGCTTTCTATCATTGTGTTTATCAAAATTTTAAGTAGGGAGCTCAGGTTCCTTTCAATTTGAATTACAGGATCAACAGTCTTGTATTAATATTTATTCTAATTGTTATTATTAGAATGTAATAATTTTAACACATTCTTACAGTTACAAAACATTAATATCTTATTTTTAAAATCCTTTGTCATTCCAGGACACTTAGATCTATGTAACAATGAAAACACTGCTGTAGTACACTGTCACATTACCTCAGAAACATTTCAAAGTGTTTTACTAAGGCCTTCAGGTTTTTATCAGGAAAGCACATCTTCCCCAGGATTTCTGGTAGCTTTACTGTAAATAAGAGAAATAATGTTTACACCTGTTCTTGTAAAAGCAACTTCTAATTCCTTTTATCCATTCTACAGAAGACAATAAAAGAATATCTTTTCCCTACAGCCTCCCCTTTTCCTTGCAAGTAACTTGCTGATCTTTCAAAGCCCTACTGAAAAGAAGCATGCTGAGAAAGTGAATGCTGCTTGGTTTAATGCTGTTTGATAGCATATTGGAAGTAATGCTTGTTTGCTTTTGTTAAATGAAGGCTTATAAAGCCAGTAAAAGATAACCAAATTTATGAACAGCCTAAGAGTTTTGAATAGATTAAAATGGACATTTCTCCTAGAATAAAACTAAATGCAATAAGGCAAGCAAAAAACCATGCAAATACAATCATGGAGGCAAGGGGAAGCAATTTTGATTGAGCACAGACTTTTGCATCAGTTTACCAAACATTCGTAGCAAATGTTGAGAGCCATATATATATGAGGGAGGTGGCGGTTGATCACTTGGTGGATAATTTTCTGGCATCAATTTCCAGGACAAAACCTACACATAAAACATTAAAGATTTCATAGCTACCATTTTATAGCACCACAGAACTTTAAAAGCAAAGATGAAATAAGTAATACAAAAAAAAACCTTTTCTGAAATGTAACTCAATCTGAGGTATACAAAACTTTTATTCATGGAATCCAGAACAGTAACATACAAATCTATTACCTCATTCAATTCATTGTTTCTTCTTCCTTCAAAGCCAGTAAAAACCGCACTCCCCTCTTTGCTAGGAGTCAAAGTTATAGGTGAAGATGACCCACTATGGACAGGGGTTTCTTCAAAGCAGAAATAAAAAGAAATCAGAAATAAATTTTAGAATTTGTTTTATGTAACTATAAGCCATTAAACATAATTAAAGTCTGCTGCTAATTTTTTTAACATATTAAACCCTGGAATTTAATAAATATTATTCTGAAGTAGGCTCCCAGAAAAGCAGCTCTTTGAATTCTGTTGAGAAGTGCAGCACCAAAGTACTGAAAATACTGCTCTGTATTTTTCCATTTGGTATAAGACCTCAGAGATAAATAATGGATACAAGAAGTAATGAATTCACACTTCACTCATTCAGTTCAGAGTCTATATTGCGTTAAAAAACAAACACACACACAAAAAACAAACAAACAAACAAAAACCCCAAAAAAGTAAACAGGACTTAAATCTTGCTTAGGGCAACAATTTAGAGCAAAGCTTACTTTTTTCCAGGTGCAAGAAGAGCTTTGGCATAGCAGCTGGGGTCTCAAGATGCCGTCGTTTAGGCTGTGGGGAAGCACTGCTTTCCGATAACCTGTCACAGTTAGAGCTATGACGTGTGGAGCGTCTCAGTGACTGCAGAATTTCAGGTTCAGCTTTTCGCCTTTTTGGTGTGGCTGGCTCCCCTGTTGCAGGCTGGCTGTCAGTTGACTGAGGAGTTGGTGGGTTCAACAGAGGAGGACTTGGAGAAAGCTCCTCCTGATTTCTAGGAAACAAAGGCAGCTTTACAGAAGTGCCTGTAAGAGATAACAGCTCTTCCTTCAAAAGAGATTCTTCAAGTTTCACACATCTTGTTAAATACTTACTCAGATTACACAGTTTCCTCCTAGTAACTATCAAAGTGGTGAGGCCTTCTTGCAAATACTATTTTCCAGAAGTGATTTTTTCAAATTTAAAAGCTAATGAACACAAATCTACATTTCAGCGTAATTTTTTCCCCCCACAAACTTGCAGCATAACTCTGTATCAATCAATACAAACCCCTTTTGTAGCTGCCCAGATGAGAATTCAGGTTCCAAATTCTGAATTCAGGCAAGTTAATTCACAGAAGAGTTCAGCACTTTATCAGGACAATTTTTAAGTCAAAGTCTGTGAGAAATCACCCTATGCTGCCCACATAACCACATTCTATTGCATTTTCCAGGGAAGATAAGTAGTACTAGACTTCTTAACTACCTGTTAGTATTTGTTGAGTTTTCTTTGATGGGAAGAAAGAATTTTGATGAAGTCACTTTCTTAAACTGAGCTTGTTCATAAGGATAGAGCAAAATTAATGGAAGTGTGAAGTCAAAGGTTATTCTCAGCCCATCCACCATCTCTTTACATAGCTCAACACTAGAGGGGAAAAAAAAAAAGAAAACAATTATGAATTTCAAAGTTACATGTCAAAATGTTTCAGTGCAGTTGTAGGAAAGTCCCCTTTAATATACATCATTAACATCTTAACTACAATATGGTCATTTCATCACTGAGTAATGATATGCACACTTAAAGAAAAGTAATTGCTGTAGGTAACTTCAGACAGCCAGATGTTAAAACTCTGCTTAGTAAAGTCAAAGAAAATCATACAATTGTTCTGTTGCTTTACTATTTACTGGATTAATAAAATCACAGTAAATTAAGTTAGTCAGATTTTTTCTGGAAGCATTATTGTGTTTTTCAAAGTTCACTACGCTGAAAAACAAGGCACTTTCCAGAAAAAAATACTCAATAGACTGTCTAACAGGCACATGCAGAATTTGATCTATAGCTGTTGAGATTCAGTTAAGACTGTGTAATATCCATTGACCCAACAAAACTAGATGAATTTGCATTGGAGATCAGCTTCCAGTGCTCCAGTAATCAAAACACTACATATAGAGAGTACCAGGAATTCAAATTTTAGCCTTGTGTAAAAGACTTACAGTGTTAGGAGGTGAGTAGTTGTCCTGCTACAAACAGAACCCAGTACACTGAGTGCAACCTACCTGCAACCTCTCTCCTCTTTGAAGATATTAATCTCTCATGTTTCAAATACATGTACGTGTACGGTAACAGCAATTTGATTCTCATACCCCATCTTACCATTTCATACAACCTGCTAAAACTACTTCCTTTTTTTTTTTTTGAACACTACATATAAATTAGGTCAGGGGGACCATCAGGTGAAGAAATTCTATCATATCCAAGGAGGTCAATTACATTCTGTGTTAGCACAGTAAAGGCAATACTAGAAAGTTGTCAGCTGCATCTCTCCTATTTAATGGATCACTGAACTTATGTAAGTTCTCCTTATTAAAGCACCATCTTTATAGAGGAGGTCGCTTAAACATACACCTTTTTTTAGAAAAAAAAATACAATGTGCATACAGCCTTCTCATTTCTGATGTCTCATGTAACTTCTTGTTTGGGAGATTTTATTACAAAGAAGGAAAGTATGATTAATCTGACATCAGTATAAACCTAGACACTCATAGACCAAAATACTGCAAGGAATAGCATCATTATGCACCACCGAAATAGAACTTAGTAACAAAAGCCAAGAGTTCTCTTTGATAAAATACAAGATTTCACCGCAGTGTAGACTTCGATAAGGAAGCAGCCTCATCTGATATTGAGAACCTTTAACATTACAAAGGAAACAAAAAAAAAATCCCTGCTGCAAAGATGTAGGCTTAACACACTGAATTTGGAATTTTTGTCAACTAAAAAAAAATATATATATATAAAAAAATATCACTTGCACTTCGGAGTTCTTTATGAGGATTTATATAAAATTTTTATCCTTTATAAAATTTGAACCTGCTCAGTTTTACTCAAGCAGGGTATTCTCACATCAGATATGCTCTCTGTACTGAGAAAATGATTCTGAAACAAGAACTTAAAGTTTGCAAGAACTTACACTATAAAAGGCGATATTAAGGTTTTTGCATTATGACTTTTCAGAGTATAGGGACTCTCCCACTGATAAACAAATCGCCAGTGTTACTGTACTTTAGGTATCTGTCAAAAATTTTAAGCCCATAAATAGACATACATCACAGTATAACAGAAGTGAACAGTCTTGAAACAGAACACAGAATGCAAGGTCATTTTTCTTGCAATAAAGGTGGACTAAAGATTACTTACTTCTTCTCTGGTGGCACATAATGAAGATTCATATTGGCATGTGAAGTCATCTGATGGTGCCGAGATCTTTCATTGGCTGAAAAAGCAGCATTAATAGCAAAATGTTTCACATATGACTCCAGGATTGTTATTATGTTTGTCTGACAAGGAAGCTTCACTAGCTGAAATAGAAACAGCAAATTAATGTCTTAGAAAAACAGTCAGTAAGTATACCAAGCTAAAACAGGAGCATGTAATGTACTGACTAGTTTAATTAAGTCTCTATTGCATGAAGGTATTTCAGGTGTGATTCATCTCAACCCTTAAACTGCATTTTTGATCAATCCTTTATAAACATCTGGACAAACAAAACCATGGTCAGGATAACAAGCTTACATTTCCAGCTTTAAAAAACAATCTGCACTCTAACATACAACTGGGTACCGAAATGTACATTCTTAAACACAATGACAACTGTTTTAGCTATTGAGAAGTTAGGTCCCTACACTTTTTACTCTTCCTTACTTTCTAAGCTTACTTTTCCAATAAAGTTCAAAAAAACCCAGGCGTCATACACACAAAAACTACTTCTGAGGGCTGCCCTCCCCAGCCCTCTGTGCACATTCATTTCATAGCTCTTATTCATACCCGTTTTCTTCTATTAATATAGTAACAGTCTTCCTCAAGCTTCTTTTTCAAGACTTCAGGAATTTCTATGCTTATTGCTCTTTCTTCCATGTCCCTTTTTGTATGACTGTCTTGTTCTTCTTTCTACAACAGATCAGTGAAAGAAACAGTATTCATTGTGCTTATGAATGTCAGTGAAAAAGAAGTTCAATACTCAGGATACAATAAAACAATCAAGTTTTGTCATGCAAAAATAAATTATTTTATAGTAATTATTAAGTGGTTAGTAGCCTTACTGTAAGTATAACAATACTGCTTTAAAGTTATTTGCAAATTCATGTTCTAAACGATTAAAATTTAAGCTTTAAACTTTAAATTTAGCATTCAGTTAAGTACTTAACGCAAAAGAATTCAATTTCTTAGGTTTTGCTGCTTCAGATTGCCCACACTGCAGCAACTGAGACCTTCAGAATAATTGTGTATGCTGTTATTTCCTTTTCAATAATGTAGAGACAATACTATATTTTTTTTTTTAAGTCAGCCTTTTACATTTTAATGTAAGGCTAGAGCTGACATGCCTGTTTCACAGTAAAACAAAAGCCAAAAAGATCCTGCTGCTATTCCTGCCATGGGCAAAGACACCTTCCACTAGACCAGGCTACTCAAAGCCCCATCTAACCTGGCCTTGAACACTGCCAGGGATGGGGCAGCCACTTCTCTAGGCAACCAGTGCCAGTGTCTCACCACCCTCACAGTAAATAATTTCTTGCTAGTATCTAATCTAAATCCACCCTATTTCATCTCAAAGGCATTCCCACTTTGCCCTGTTACTACATACCCTTGCAAAAAGTGCCTTTCCAGCTTTCTTGTAGACCCCCTTTAGGTACTAGAAGGCTGCTCTAAGGTGTCCCTGAAGCCTTTTCTTCTCCAGGTTGAACAACCCCAGCTCTATCAGCCTGTCTCCATAGGAAAGGTGCTCCATCCCTCTGATCATATTGTGGCCTTCCTCCTCCTCTTATGTTGGCAGCCCCAGAACTGGACACATAAGTCCAAGTGGGCCCTCACTAGAGCAAAGTAGAGGGAAAGAATCACCTCCCTCAACCTGCTGAACACGCTCCTTTTGATACAGCCTGGCATATGGTTGGTTTTCTGGATTAAACTCCAGCTAAATTACCAGCTGTGGCCTATATTTTATACATCTCAATTTTTTCCATAGTTTCAAATACATCTGAATTCTATTAAGGAGCTCATGAACATACCATTTCTGTCCTCTCTTCTATGTCACTTTCTTCACTTTTTATTTCTTCATCTGTTCCTTCATCACTGTCATCAGAAGAAGAACTACTTATAGCTGTGTAAAAGAGATTTCAGATATTTATATCACATTACTACATTGCAGAGATTAAGACCAAACAATTTCAGGCCTCAATTTTTAAAAAAAAAAAGGGGGGGGGGGGGATTGGAGAGGGACAACCAAACAAAACCACCACAATTAACTTGTTTGTTTAATAAGGATTAATAGTTCTAATTGAATTAAATACACAATTATTATTTACAACATACTATAAACTTTTTAAACATAGAACACAACTTTACAGAAAGTATTCTTGCACCCTCTCTAACTGAAAAAAAAACAAATCACTTTTGAAAGCTCACTATATTACCGAACAACCACTGATCATTTTAATTTTTACTGGACTTTAGTTCTGAACAGGGATTAATGTATTAATCATTCAGTCAGAAGTCTGGATCTGTGCAGCAAGTTAACATAGGTAAGTGCCAGACAGTGTTTCTAGTGTCTTTCAAGCTACAAATCAAAATGCTATGAAATAGAAGACCAGGCTTGAAAGTGAAATCAGCCCATTCAGTTGACATGAAACAGTCCTTCATGCCAGGTAGACTGAGAGTGGGGGGGAGGGGGATGGAGGGGAGATGGGACACAACACCACAACAAACAAAACCCAACAATACACACACACACACCCCCCACTCCCTCACCCCACCTCCCCAACAAAACAAAACACAAACAAACAGCAAAAAAAAAAAAATCACTTATTGCTCCCTAAAATATGTAGGAACAGTAGCAGGGAAAGTGTCTTATATTCTAACACCAAGCAAAAAAAGCTTACTCTTCATATGACTGCTCCATGTATTTCAAATAGGACCATGACACTCTTGTGTCATCCTATGATCAAAAAATTAAAGGCATCACACCTGCTATTAAAGATTGAAAATAAGCTCACAGTTCTCGCTACTCTCATCATTTTCTTCAGCAGGAAGGCTTTTTAATACAGAGTCAACACCAGGCAGCCTGCAACGCCTCTTCTTTCTTCCCTTTCTTCTCCTAAAGAACATAAAATGATTCACTGAAATTCAGCTAATATTATTTGTCTTAACCTAACTAATTATATTACATGCAAATGCCCAGGAAACATATGTTTATTAATTAATGTTGAAATAATTTGGACAATGTTTATTTGAGAGTGGATACCTTAATGTCTGTACATTACCTCATATTTGTGTTCTCAAATGGATCCTCAAAGCCACGGCCAACCAATATAAGATTACCTTTGGCTGAAAAATACTTCCAATTTTCCTAAGTTATTTTTCAAGTACATTTCTTTGGGAAGATGTAGATCCAATACATAGACATTTGGCAGCAGTAGTTAAGAAGAGCATAGTTATTAAGCATTAGTTGTTTAGTGTTATTTAAATGTAGGTATCAACCTCAGTAAGATAAAAGTAGCTCTCTAGAATATACTGGCTGTACAGGGAAGCAGCATGAGCTTAGAGTCCAAAGTCACTTGCAGACACTGGGATGTATCTGTTTGAATCTGAAAACAAACCTCTCATTCATTTTGAGATCAAAAGGATTTCTTACATGCGAGCCACAGCTTTCCGCGCCAATTTACGCTGTAATCTGCGGTTTTCGTCTGTATCGCGAAGAACATGATCTTCAGCTGCCCATCTATCCCAGCTAAGGGTAGGTCAAAAGAAAATTAACAACAGGTATGAAAGGTTTGCATCCTTTTGTATTCATGTGGCTTCAATTCTTGTGTTGCTATAATCTCTCAAATGTTGACTCAACACGCAATGGTGTCTGTAGCACTAACACATGCTATGAATCATCACAGACAGAGACTGCACTCGTGTAATGGCCTTGATAACCAAACAATCCAGGTCTAGATTTAACAAGATATAAATTCAATATATTAATGGAAACCTAGAAGCCACAAGTATATACCAAAGACAGATATCCCATAAAGTTTAAACTTGTAGCTATCAAACTGATCCACTGAAATTTATGGATAGAGACCAACATGTCAACATAAGCAAGTATATTAAAGGCATTCATTAAAGCAAAAATAAGCCTGCAACATTTGATATTCTGTGCGATGCATTTTTTTTCAGAATAATATAGAAGAAATAGAAGAACTGAAACTGCACATACAGGCCCTTACCTTCTATTCCAGCCGTTAAAATGGATCAGATATTCTGGAATCTTTCTGCCTTTCTCATCTTTTCCAACAATAATATCAACGATCTGGAACAAATATTAACAGCATGTATTAAAAAGCTTGAGAAAAAGCCAGCCTTCCAGTACTTAGGGAGCTTATGCACACTGGGAAGAAAAGCAATTATTTATGATAATCAAACATCTACAATTTTGCCAGTGAATACTGATATGAGCAGAAGGAATGGATTATATTAAATGGTAAGAAAAACTAGCTGTTTTATTCAGCACTCTTAACGTTGGGGATTGCTAACCCTCTTTGTCCTCTCCTCAAATGTCCCATGTTTTCAAGACACAAAAGGGAAATGCAAAACAAGGCAGTATCACAACAAGGATAAGCAGATACACATCTGGGCTACTAACGTTTTATCCCATGTGCCATCTCTTCATACTTTCAAAGTAAGGGACAAAATAGTTTATATATATAAAACTCAAAAGTACTGCTGTCTCAAAACAACACAGAATCTTAGCCACTAAACATTAAAAGGCTTTGCGAATAACTGAGCCTTTGTTTCCTTCCTCTCTTTCATATATGTAAAACAGGCCCGTCTGAAAGGGCCTGCTCCTCAAAAAGACATTTCACGTGGATCAGAAGAGCAGCATCAGGACTAGTAATAACAAAGGAATTCTGCCTGCATTTCAGTGGCTCTCAGTAGATCAGGTATCTCCAAACTTATGCAGTAGCTATGCTAATGTTTTAATTCGGGAGTCCAGAATTTAGGAACTATTGATGGAGTCAAGGGCAGTTATGCTGGAGCTTGCCGTATCTGAAAGTAAAGGTGGCACTATCATTTTTCGTACTCGCGTTACCTCTAGGGCTGGCAATTAAAGCTGTTGGGGCAGTCAGAACATACAAATACACATACAGACAAAAGGGCAGCCCAAAACATTACAGGAAGGCAGAAACCCTGATCAAAGATGTTTGAAAAACACTGGTCTACACAACTAGCAAGCTTGCAGCAAAAACATTAATTTGGTCAAAAAAACAGTTTCAACCCTCCCATGTCATCCCTCTCTGCAACTAAACAAACAAAAAAACCAAACAGAACTCTGTTTGCAAACTAGGTACAGACTTCTAATGGAAAAAATATATCCTGTGTCCCACTGATAGCCAAAATCAATATTATATTTACAGCAGTACAACTACAATCACTGTTTTTGAGGCCAGGCCCAAGTGAGTCAGCCACCTCGTACTGCAACACTTACGGTCCATCACTCACTGTTTGCTAACGTATTCCTGTATAACTCTCCTGTACTACCAGTAGCATTTAAATCCCCAAGTAAACGCGGGGGGGGGAATAAATCAAGATCTGCTACAAAAGCTCAGGAATTAAAATAAGATTTCAGAATTACTTTGCAGGTGTTCAGCCGAGAACGGAAGGCGGGAACCGCGACTGTCACTTCCAGAGCCACTCAGCGGCTCCGTTCTCTACCAGCAGCGAGAGCAAGGCCCCGACAGCCCGGACTCCACCGCTCCTTCGTCACCCGGGCAGCGGGACGCCTCCACCCGCAATGGGAAGGCCCAGAGGTCCGTACGAGGCTTCTACCCTCCCCCTAACCCCAGGGCGGAAGAGCGGATGTGAGAGAGAAGCGCCGAGCCCCACGGGGGACCGGGCTGAGGCGGCCAGGGAAGCTGATGGCGGCACAAGGGCGGGAGGGGAAGGAGAGGCCCAGCAGGCACGGGCACCGCCTCGCTTTGTCTCACAGCTCGTGACGATGGGCGCCCCCCTCCCCGCGGCCTCTCCGCCTGCTCCCCTCTCCCTGGGCCTGCGTCCGTTCCCCGCAACAAGTGCTGCTGGCGGAACTGCCTCCCTCCCTCCGCTTCCTCTCCGGCTGAACCCGCAGCTGCTTCCCCAGCCGCCTCCCGCCCGGGGGCGCATGCAACGCCCAGGGGAGCGTTAACGGCAGCACCGGCCCCGCCCCGCCGCGCTCCCTCCCTCCCGCCCGGCCACGGCGGAAGCGGAGGGGGTGGAGGAGGGTTATCTATAAGGGGGTGAGTAGGGAAGGGTCGCGCGCGGTGTGTCACCTTGGCATCATAGAGCACTTTGGCTTTGGTGGGGTCGGGCTCGAAGCACAGAACTCTCTCCCCACGGTGGAACTTAAATTTCATTCCCCGCGAGGTCATTTGTTCATCATGGCGAAAAGGAGAGGAGCCACGCCCCTCCAATGGAGGAGGTGCTGCGGCTGGGCCCGCCACGCCTACAGGCGGCGGGCGGGTCGGAGAGGGAGCGCTTCTTTCTGGGATCTCCGTGTGCCCCCTGGAGCTGGGGTGCCCTTTCGTACCAGCCCACGGGGTGTCTGGCACGGGAGTCGGCCGCGGGAGGGGGTAGTGCTGAGGGGAGGGAGGGCAGCCGCCTGGGGCTGCGTGGGGCGAGAGCTCTAGGCCTTATTGAATCACCCGGCTTTGCCGCTCCCGTGAACATGGCGCCGCCCGCAAGAGCAGGTGCTAGGGAGTGTGTTCTGAGAACACCAGCAGCCCTTCCCTCCGTTACTGCTTCCCTTGAACATCACCCCACAGTCCCCATTCCCTACGCTGCTTCTGGTGTTCTCCTGTAAGCAAAGAGCCTCCCTGTACTCCAAAGATGTTTTTTTATATATATTGTAACCTCCCTCAACGGTTTGTTGTTGATCTTTCGGCCTTCCTGTGAGAAAACAAATTGGAAATAAAGAGGCTGTTGGACTAGAAACTCAATTACCTGAAGTTTGATTTATCTTTCCAATGTTCAGTTTAAAATTTTTCATGTCTCAAACAGGATGTAAATTGTGGAAATACTCATCAGTTGGCAGTTTCCTTAACCACGTACTTTCTGCTGACTGAAGGTACTGATGGGGGTTCAGTCAGGGGAATACTGCAGTTTCTCACGCAATTAGATGCTCCCTCAGGCCATTACAATTTTGGTGCCGGTTCTGCATTTCCAATTTACACGAGACCGTGACAGAGCCAGGAGGCCTGGGCCTTGCAGAAAGAACAGTTAATTTGTGATGATTTAGCATTTCTGAACTTACTTTTCTGTGAAGGCTGTTCAGGAGGTAGATGACTAAACAGAGAAAGGCGACTGTGCAACTGTGAGTCTATGCTAGTCTGGTGCTGATGGGAAGAGATGTTTAAATCCTTTCTTACGGTCTCTGAGGCTGACTGATAGAAAAACTGGAAATGGGAAGGAATGCCATGGCAGAGAACATACTAAGGAGCTGCTAATGTATTACCAGAAGGTTTCCAAAGGGAAAAGGCAATAGGAGATTCCCAGAAAACATGATTCTGAGGGGATGATTGCTCCCAGGGGTAGTATGGACGAGTATTCAGTTTCTCTTGATTCATTTTTTTTATAGTAGGGGTGGTGGGAAAAACCTGTGAACTTGCTGCTCAGACAGGGTGGAGTGAGAGAAGCCAACTGATGGAAGAGAAAGGGTGTGAGAAAACTAAGGAAGTGTTCCTGAAATTGTTCTGAGCCAGCTGCTGCTTAGGTTAAGAAACAGTCTCCAAAAAATGCATTGGTGCAATGCCAGTTGCAGAAAAGTGTTACTGAAGTTCCCCTTTTTTTAAAGAAAAGGGAGCTGGTGCAGAACAAAGCTGCTTCCAAGAGACTACCAAAAAAAAAAAAAAAGAACAACAAACTTGTGCTTGTGTCCCTGGCTCCAACCCATTCTAAGAGTAATCACACAGGAGGAGCCTCCTGCTATTTCTGCACAGGTTTATGTACTTAAGTGCTGCCTCCTAGGTTCCTCCTCTTATTCACCTCATCTCAGCCTCTCTTACTTCACCCCAGCCCACTTTCATGGCTCCCACCCAAGATACTCTTCAAGCCTTTTGTCTCAAATTTCCCAGTTTTCCTAACAGAAACATACAGCACTCTGCCACAGTATTTGAGGTCCAGTTGTTGCCCTGTACCCCCTCTCCCTCATCCCACACTTGGGTACATGCACGTGTGCATCTGCCCTTATCTCTCTGAGCCACCTTGTTGTAGGCAATCCTTGCCAGCAGGTCCTTGCCCTTGCCAGCTCTCCCACTAAGGATCCTGCTCTAGCAGGGTTTTTAAAAACCTGTGTGTGGGCTGCACTCAATTAAGATCCATACCAAGGCAGCCACAAGAGCAGAAAGGCTAGCACGTTTATGAAAAACTGACCCTCCGATAGTGCTACCCAGGCAATGCTGAGGTCTACCAGGATAATGAATGCAGAACATAAGATTTTTCAAAGGTACTGAGTTCTCCATAGTGAGAACTGCCAAATGGCTGTGCAACCCAAAGAGCAATGACCACTAGGAAAATGGTGGTAGTGCACCTACATTGTGCACACTGCCTGTGCAATACCTGTGACGAGTTGTACGTGACATGTATAAAGCATAAACGAAGGTCCAGTGACAGATGTATCAGATTTAGCAAAGTTACATATAACAGCTCCTCACATGTATCAAGTAAGTCTGCTACAAGGAGAAATGGAAGGCAGCAGGGCTCTGTCTGCAACAGTGTCTTTGGGTTCAGTGTCCCAAGTGCCAAGAATGGGAAGAGGGGTGGGAATGACCAGCAGCAGGGCTTGTCCAACATTGCTGAACCAGATGAGCTGACCCACTGCATATTTTTAATAGATTCACAGGATACTAGATTGCTTCCAGTAAAGAGAATTGTTTTTACAGCTCCTTTGGGAAACAGAGCAGCACGGAAAAGGAGACCCCAGCCTGCAGCTGAGCACCGTCTGTCAAAGCATACCCTACCACATCATAAGGACTAACGGTTTCTCGGGAAAGTACTTCAACTGCCTGCCTTATTGCAGCTTCAAAAAACACACTGCCCAGAGCCCCGCAGTCACGCCGTTTTCATTTAAACAACACAAGAAACTGCGTTTGTTAGGGGAAAAAGGAGCAGGCCCCCGCACAAGATGGAGGCGGCTCGGGGCCGCAAGGCATGCTGGGAGCTGTAGTCCGGCGGCGGGCCGACGGGTTGGGCCTTCGCCCGATGGGGGTGAAGTGGCAGGTCCTTGCAAAGGGGCGTCCTCCTACCTCCTCCCTTTCTGCGCAGCCATTTGGGGAAGACGGGTCTTAGACTAGGGAACCGGGGAAGCGGGGTGTGCAGGGTGCCCAGGCCCGTGTGCAGCGGGAGGCGGGTCTCGGGGCGGGCCGCGGCGCTGCTTGGTGGGCTGGGCGCCGCCGGTGGGAGAGGAGGGTGGCACCGGCCAGCGTGTGCGTGCGCGAGTTCCCTGATGCTGAGTGAGCGGGCCAGTGGCAGCATCTTAAAATACATCATAAATATGTAGGTACATTTGTGGTGTGGAAACCACACAGATTGATTTTCAGTCAGTATTGAAAGATAAAAACAGCCATTCAAGTTCGTTCACGTTGTCACTAAGGAGTTCCCAAGGTACTGCTATTCAAGTAGGACTATTAAGGCTGTAGTGAGGGTCTTGTACATCTAGAGTACAAACAGCAAAAGTGAATTTCCAGAAGCAACAGTAGAGAGACATCTGCATGCATTGCTCATAGTTAACAGTAGATTATGCAGTAATTGTAGGTAGTTCTAAATCACATTAAACCATAGGATGTAGCTCTAAGAAGACAATAAAGGTGCTTCTCAAATGCTAGCATATCACCAGCCAAAGTACATGTATTTGCAAGACATGAGTGAGCGTTATGATTACACCTCTAATGAAGAAGTCTAGAGGGAGCCTCTCCAGCAGAGTCCTGAGTGAAAGGATGCCTAAACTAGTGATCAAAGGCACAATCTTCTGCAGTGTCTGAGATGTTGTGTTTAATAAATAAACAGCTTTGCCTCCAAGAAAGACCACTTCTAGCAACAGCTTCTCCTAAAGCAAACAAACTGCGTTATCCTAAAAATTGGCTAACTGCTTGGATCAAAAAGAGGCAAGACATTTAGTGGAATGCTGTTATATATGGGTATTTTACTTATTGAACCTGTAATATCCTAAAGACATGCCCCATTAGTTTGACAAGATGCAATATGCATAGCTGTCTTAGTTGTTATTCTTTGAATGTTGCCTGGTTTTCATTATTTTGCCTGGGAGGGATTGATGTTAGGATGGCAGGTATGTAGTTGCCCAGGTCATCCTAATTGGTTCAGTACTTAGCCGACAGACACTGAATGGGAAGGCACATTGGCTGAGGGCAGTAGAGGCAAGTGGTGTTCGCATGAACTCCAGTATCCACAGTATTAGTATGCTTCTTATAAATGGTGATGAAACTTCAGTTACACTTAAGAATGAATATTTTTTATCCCTGCAAAGAGTTTTTGTAGAAAATTCCTCCTTTGTTCTTTCAGGCTGGAAACTGCAATTCAGAAATTTGTGAGAATTCTGAGGGTGTTTTGGCTTCATGAGGTTCTCATCACATTGTCCAGATTGGAATCAAGGCCTCAAGATTGTGTAATTTTCTTCCTAAATGTTTATGTAACAGCCACCACCTGCACAGGTTCTCTGGTATGTGTTGTTTGTTAGGAAACAAAATTACTTGTTTTGGAGTTGGTCGGGGGAACAGAATACATTATTTTTGGCAGAGTGATATTATTCCTTTTTGCCCACTCATTTTTCACAAGTAATTATAAGCAGTAGTTTTAGTATTAGCATCATGGTAATATTACAGGATACTCAGGATGCAGAAGACATCTACAGTGAGCAGAGAAGGCAGTTAGAATCAAAGCATGGCCCACAAGAAACAGGCAATAACCCTCTGAGAATATTTTACTGCATAACAACCGTGATGGATTGCAATGCAGAGGGTACAATTTCAGTGTGTGTCTGCACATTTAATGAAGTAACAGCCCAGTTGTCCTCTCCCTAAGTTAATAAAAATTAGCTTGAACACCAACATAATGTTATCCTTGATTCTTTGAGCTAATCCTCAAAAAGCTTAAATGGT